ATTTCGCCAAGCTGCCGCGGCGGCGTTTCTCCAGAGCGGTTGGCGATTCTCCGATCAATACGTATTTATTGCTTTTCGCCGAACCGCTGTTTCGTCAGGGTCGCAGACTGTGAACAATGCCTTACACCGAAAAATCGAATTGGCGCACTGACAGATAAGGTTAGTTGTTTGTATAAGAGACTGATTTTCAGCTGTCGTAAGGGTGCTTCACTGAAGTTTCAATTTCGATTTGCTGTGTTCGAAACATTTCCAACGATAATTTTCCAGTAATTACGAATGGTTGTGCAACAGACAGTAGCAACCTGTGACCTCAACCAACATCCCTACAAGTAGGAGGACGTTTAGGTGGCACTGGCATGAATCCGAAGCATCACATCCCCAACGTGAAACCCACCCTTATTGTTGTTACCAGCATCGGCTTCTGAATGCTGTAATCAAGACGTCCAAGTCGCAGCATAGCAAATAGCCTATTATTCCATGGCTAGTTGACTTGATATGCAAAAGCAATGCCACGTTGAATAATGGGTCATGATGCAAATGTCGCGCTCGCGTCCTGCAGAACCTTTTCTGCAGCTCGTTGACTGCTGAACTATGTATATTCTTCCAACCTACTACTGGAGATATTGACATTCCTTTTTTTCCTACGATGATCTCCTGAACGACACCAGTTCTATCCATGCGACGACTTACCGAGCAGACTGGCTCTACCATTTCTTACGCAGAGTGTGCACCAAATGTTTTACAACACATTTGCAAGGATACCTTGCGGAGATACGGAGTTTCTTCGGTAGTAGCCAGCCCGGACAAGATAAAGAAAAGAACCGAAAAAATGACCAGGTAGCCCCTTTTCACACAGCCGCAGGGTGCTTTCTAACCGGAATAGTCGTTTGCAGGCTGCTTTTTCCTGGCGTAGGCCGATGATCCGCTCATGCCACTGACATCAGCCTCAGTTCCTTAAGTTCTTATTCGTCACTACTAAGCGGCTCAATATTGATGCACTAATGCATTTCATCTCATGAGTTGCTGGCTGTGCGAATTTACGGAGCCAATGTTCTCTGCAGAACTGGCGGAGGTTCACTTGGTAGGCAGGGGCAGGATGGCTGGGGGTGAGCAACCGCAATTTGCGCAGCCCTTCTCCAGTGTTTCCGCGAGTCTCTTGCGTTGTTGTAAATGGCGCCTCCAGAAGGCATGTCTTTCCAAAAAGCAGAAGCGAGCTTGTGTTGTTATCGCAGCATTAAATGATGATAGCACACGTTAGAGGGGGGCCAACAAAATGCCCCCGCTCAGCTGCTACTATCACGTCCAACGTTCGTTTGCTGGACGGCCAACTGATTGGCTGCCGCATGTTCCGCCAATGCCCCTACAGTTTCGACATTGAGACGAGATAAGAGGAAAAAGGTAATACTCGTATGATACCAAAGATTGAGAAACATGGCGCACGTGCTAGGTCAGGGACCACGTGGGATGTTGGATCGTTGGACGGAGTGGTGTAGGGAAGGGGGGGGGTTGGTCGTTGCCTTTGTTAACAAACTGCACGGTTTGTTCACTCCAGGTTATTTGGCTTTTGCAGGCTTATTTTCTTTTAAGTTCATATTGATAATAGTTTTTATTATCAATTCAAAAAAAACCCAACAAGACACAACAAAACACCGTACAGTGTCTTCTTTTACGCTCTTTCACTGTAACCAAACGCTGCCGCTAAGTCTCGACTTCTTATACACCCACGCCCCAAACCACCACTGCTCCAATCTATTCACGTTCTTCCCTCCTCGCCCGGACTCAGAGGGCAGCTCAGCGCTTTTGGAGGGACAGTGGGAGAATTTTTGTGGAAAAATGCTGGAAACTCCAGAAAGTGGTAGGAAGTTAGGAAAATTCTGGAAGATAATGGGTAGGAATGGGAAGGGAGGAAGTTCTGCGGGGTTTTTTCTCAGAAATCCAAAGGTAAGATGCGCCTTAGTGAGAAGTCGTCCAAGCACATCCTTACTTTTTGTGTGCGTGCTAAAGCTCGGTTCGGCTTCGATCTCACCTAGGGCATTTTAGAGGGTTATTTTCTGCGCTCCTATTTCACTGTTACGATGACTACCACCTTATCGTTAGCTTTTGAGCCCCACTGCCCACCACTCCTCGAAGGGCCTTTAGAAAGCGTCATGTGGTAAAATTAATTGAAAGCAGTGAAGTATCTCAATTTTCCGAGTTTCGCGTGATTTCTCTCGAATAATCAATTAGCGAGCATTGTGCGAACGCTATGATCGATAGGAACGAATGTCGGCTGTTGAGGGGCAATAAATAATGGGGTAAAAGCCTCACCTGGAAAGCCACTGTGTGCATCATTTTCACAACCCGGCACAAAAGATCTCCTCCTCGCCAGTCGTAGGTGAGCAGCCAACATGCTCTTGATGGCACATAAATGAAGATCACCAATAAGTCAGTATAGTTCAGATGTCGTTTGAGCAGATCCAATCGACTTGTCATCGGCCTCTCCGCCAACTGAACAAGATTGTTTTGGCAACCATATTTCTTTCAGCACTCTATAAAAACATAATCTCGTTGGACGAGTGTTAGGCTGGATTTGGCTCGCCACCACCCCGTTCTCCACCCAAGGCACAGCATCGTTGTGTAAAACACATGGCGGGGGGGAGGTCGTACTTGGCTGCTGGGGAGGGGGGGTCGTATGTGCCTTTGAGAAAATTTGCCACGTTCGGAAGAGAATTTTCCCGGTTGTTGAGTTTTCGTGATTTTTCCCTTTCAAGTACATAGGTGTTACGGAGGGGGAGGGTTGTACTGACACCACCACTTCATACATCACGATGCTGTACCGTGTCTCCGCCAGCTGTTGGA